GCAGTTGCGTGCAAGGGTTCAATTCTCCAATACCAGGAAAAACCCCGCAAAAGATGGACGAGAATTAAAGGAGGCTGGGAAGCATCTTCAGTGGGGACTGCGGAGACCGGTGGATGAAGAGCCAACAGGCTCCATTCCACAGATCCTGGAGCCACACCCTGGTCCTTGTCACCCGTGGCATTCAGCCTGGGCGGCCATGCTGGCTCCACCTGGTATAAAAACACTTCCATGTTTCCTGGCAATGGGTCACGGCCCACAGGCTCTCTCTCCTCAGAGGACTCTGCCACCTTGGCCACCAGCCCCAGTCTGGGACCCCCAGGCCTCCTAGGAGCAGCAACTGAAAGGCCCGGGCTGGCACAGCCATCATGCCCAAAGCCTTCAAGCTCTTATTACTGGAGCCTAAGATTGTGGGAGTTCTCAGTTACCATCCAGTTCAGAAGAATTAACTCCAGGCATTGGAATTTACACGCATCCTAAAGTCCTCACCATGGCAACAGGACTCACTTCCTTCTCCTTCTCACACCTCTGCCTTCTTGGATACAGAGCTATAGCTCTCCTGACCCTCACTTTGCCCCAGGGCCTTTGCACCAGCTGACCCTCCTCTTCTAGAATGATTTGGCTGCATCTTTCTGACTGCTCAGTGACTTCCCCGACCACCCATTTTGAAGCAGCTTATCCCTCCAGCCCAGCTATTCTGTTTCAATATTGCTCAGTTTTCTTTATAACGCTTGGCACTAAATGAAAGTCTTCTTTTGGAATTATTTATCATTATTACTGTCCCAGAGATTGAGCCCAGAGTCTGTCTCATACATGCTAGGTACTTGCTCTGCCAAGCTATACCCCCGGACTCAAGTTGTTTACTCTTCATCTCCCTCTAGAATCCAAGCCCCAGGTGGAAGGGAGTAAATCTTTGATTCTCCTTTATACCCAACATCTAGAACAGGGTGTGTGTTTTGCAGCTCAGCTCCTGATATGAACAGGGATTTTGTGGTAATTGGAAAAGAAAGTCTTCCCTCAAAATATCTTATCATCTTCTGCTGGAAGTTCACCAGACCAGCCCACCCTGGCTATGCCTTGTATCACCTGTCCCCTTTTCCACCAATAACTGCCCTCTGAATGGACAAGTGGGGGCTGGAATCCCAGGGGTCAAAAGCATCTGAAGGCAATGGTGAAACTGCACCAAGCATGTTGATGGCATCATCTGTCTGGTGATTTCACCATGCTGGGCACAGATTCCTTTGTCTTCACTTATCTATCAAGCACGATTTGCCCAGCGTCCCTTGTGGTGTTGGCTTGAGGAATTAGACACGAATAAGACACAGTTCCTTCATTCAAGAAGTTGAATGAGGGCCAGCGGCCATGACAGTGAGTTGTGGGGTACAGGGTTGCTGTGGCTGTAAGGTCAGCCAGTCCAGGGTGGTCCTGGGCCCAGGACACCTGCTGGGTCCTGAGGAGTCAAGGGTTCCTAGGAAGGTGACTGCATTAGACCACAGGAGGGGCAAGTCCAGCATGGTGAGGTGAGTGTCCAACTTGTGACCCATGTGATGGAGACTCCAAGCCGTGGTGTGCTCAACAACCACGAGGTAATTTCCAAACTCAGGCTCTTGCCTTACATTTCTGTGGAGGCAACGTGGGATCCTCTCTAATGTTCTCTTTTCCTCTCCTCTTCACTTTCTTCCATGCAGTCCTCCCTGGGAAACCTTATCTCCAGTTTTCAGTCTTGTTCCCCAGTTCATCCTTTCTGCTCTACTGAGGACAGACACAACCTCTTTCTTCTTGCATTCTCCCCTTTCTCTTCCAACCTTCTAGGTCCAGTACTGCACCCCCTCTCTGACTCTGTTAGGGTTTAGATCTAAAATAGTCCACAGAGTCTTGTGTATTCAGAAGGGAGGCTTCTGGAAAGTGACTGGATCATAGGGATGCTATACTCATTCATGGATAATCCATGCATGAGTTCATAGCTGAATGGGTTGTTATATCCTTGTCCCCAGCTCCTCCCTTCTCTCTTTGCTTCCTGGGTGCAGGGAGTTGAGCACTCTTCCTCTACCAGACCCTTCCACCATGTTGTTTCTGCATCGGAGCCAGCTGACCATGGACTGAATTCCCTGAATCGTAAGCCAAGTTAAACCTCTTTTCCTTTTAAACTGTGGATGTTGGGCCTTGAATCTCACTCATGGGAGAGCTGACTATTCTAGTCTCCATCACAAAATCCAAGGCAGAGTCCTCTTTGGAGTGAATGAGGGAAAGAAAAGAGGCTCCCAATACTTCTGCATATCTTCTTTTGGCCTCAACACACTTAACCTTTCCAACCACTGTTATTAACCTATTCTTTAAATGAGAAAATTGAAACCAGGGTAGCTCCAATAATCTGCCCAAGACCTCAAAGCTGGTAAGTGCCTGGTCTCCCTGCCTGTCATTTCTCTCCTTTTGTCTTTTGATTTGCCTACTGTGACTTCAGTGCAAAGACAGACTTCCCCAAACATTTCGCCTGGCCATTGCCTCTTGTATACTTCCTTCAGCCTGTGTGCTTTTCCACCATGGCACTTGTGATGGCTGTAACTATATATTTCTTTTTGGGGTTAAAGTCTGTCTCTAACATTAGCCAGCCAATTCCTAAAGGGAAGAAAATATATGTGTAGGCATCCCCCAGTTGTATTCCTGGTCAGTGAAACAGCAACTGAGACATGTGAAGTGCTCAATAAATGTTTGCTGAATAGAAGAACAAACAGCTGGGCTTCCATCTCCGGTCTCAAAAGTGCACGTTCCTTTCCTGCACTGTAAGTTGGTGTTCATGGGAGGGCAGAACGGGATGCAGGCCATTCCAGCTTCAGGAGTGACTGCTTGCCACATGCACCAAGGAGTTGGGGTGAGGTTCCCTGCTGGCAGTGGTGCTGTTGAGTGCAGTCTTACAAGGAGAGGTGGCAGGAGAAGCCGCAGGAGCTAGTGCAAAGGCGAGGGCGAAGTGAGGGATGAAAAGACTTCTCTCGTGTGCCAGGCAGGGATACGGCTCTCAAGTCACCGCTGAGGGCTGTGCAGCTGGGAGTGATGTGGTCACAGCCATGGTGCAGGGAATCCCTGCCTGGCGCTGAGTGGAGGAGGCAGAGATGAGGGCAGAGCCTGGAGGCTGGGATGTCACCACAGGCTGAAAGGGGCGCTGTCTTGGGCAGGGGGTCAGGTGGAAAGGAACAGGCAGCCCCTAGGAGGCAAGGAAGGACAGGAGAGCAGAGTGATTCTCCAGTGCCAGGCTCAGGCCCTGGGACAGGTGCAGAAAAGGCCTTGAGGGGGAGAGAGCTCGGGCCGCACAGCTGGAGACTGAGGAGCGGTGGCACCTGCAGGTGTCCATCTGGGGTGCAGGTGGGTGCCAGGGAGGGTGCAGGTGGGTCTGGGTGGAGAGAGAGCAGGGAGGGGATGAGGAACTCCAGCCCGGCAGGAGGCAGCAGAAGGCCAGCGGCTCAGTGGGTCGGGTCGCTGCGGGGCACTGCTCTCTCCTCTTGTCCTGGGCCAGCGCCTGCAGCGGCTCAGCACCAGCAGCAGACCGGGCTGTGGACAAATGAGACTTGTCACCTGGGAGTGGCACTGAGCGCTCGGGAGCACTGTCCTCTCGTTTCTCTTTCCCCACTATTCTTTTTTTCTTGGCCCCAGTTTGGGGTTTGGGCCATGTAGCCAAGGCTGTTTCCTCTTCTGTGAAACCCCAAGAGAGTTACGTGTCCTGTTCATGGTTAAAAAAGAGGAAGAATATGGCTGGGGATTTAGCTCAGTGGTTCCACCGCCTGCCTCACAAGCGCAAGGACCCAAGTTCGATCCCAGGTACAAAAAAAAAAGAGAAAGAATGTGAAAGTGTTCTGAAAGGAGGAAACTCCCAGCTAGGGGTTCTCGTCCTCCTTTTTGTCATCTTCTTTTTTTTCTTTCTCCTTTTCTCGTCCCCCCACCCCCCCGCACTGGCGATTGAACCCAGGGCCTGCACTGAACTACCTCCCCAGCCCATTTTTAGTTTTGGGACAGGGTCTGTTAAATTGCCGCGTTGCCCAGGCTGGGCTCAAGCTTGAGATCCTCCTGCTTCAGCCTCCCAGAGTGCTGGGTTACAGGTGTGAGCCTCACTCCCCGGCCCAGCCCTCTTCTTCCCATTGTTTTACAGGGTTAGAGTTCATACAAAGTTGTTCCCCAAAGGAGAAGTGGCTCACAGCTCAGGGGCCGTGGGGAAAGGACCACCTCTCCAGGGGCCAAGGAAGCCCCGTCTCGGGCTGGGTGCGGGAGGAGGAAGAGAAGGCCAGTTCCGGGAGACGCTGTCCGGCTTCACAGGGTCCTCACACCGGACGGCTGGGAATCGGTATCTCCGGCTGCGGATGGACGAAGAACCGAGGGAAGTCAGGAGGCCTCTCAGGGTGGCAGAGGCAGGAATGAAGCCCGGTTCGGGGCTCAGGTCTGTGTGAAATCCCAGGCCCCTTTCTTTCCCCTCCAAGACTTTCCCAGGCTGGCAGCCAGGGCTTCTCGTCCCTCTCCCACCTCTCCGCTTCCTAAACGTGGCGGGGCCACGCACCCTTCCACCTTGCCGGGCCGAGAAGGTGAGGGTCGGGCGCCGAGTTCTACGGACCTGCGGCTCAGGCCCTGCGCTCTGGAGGGCGCTGCGCTGAGCGGGACGCCGGGCACAGGTGGGGAGGGCGCGCGGGGCCGGGGCGGGGGGGCGCGGCGCGCGGCCCCGGAGAAGCCGGGGACAGCTGCGCCTCGCTGGCTCGCCGGGCGGCTCGCTCTTCCCGCTCCGGCTGCGAACCAGACAGCCGCGGCTGCCGCCCGGGGACCCCACCGCTTCCTGCCGAGCCTGGAGAGGCTCACAGCAGCCACCATCTCGGCGCTCCGCGCAGCGCACGGTGAGCGCCCCTCGGGGCTCGGGGTTTCTTGCCGGAGGGTCCCGCGCACCCCTTGGGGTGCCCGATGGGGCCGCCCGGGGGGCGCAGGGCTGAAGTCGGAACCGCGCGCGTCCCGCCTCTGCCTCTGAGCCCAGCATGCTGCCGCCTGGGCGCAACGGCACCGCGCGCCCCCCGTGGTCCGGGCTGCGGGCGCAGGAGGGCGCCGTGGGGGATGCGGGGCCGGCGCAGGTGCTCACCGCTGGCCTCCTGACGCTGCTCATCGTGTGGACCCTGCTGGGCAACGTGCTGGTGTGCACGGCCATCGTGCGCAGCCGCCACCTGCGCGCCAAGACGACCAACGTCTTCATCGTGTCCCTGGCCTTGTCCGACCTCTTCGTGGCGCTGCTCGTCATGCCCTGGAAGGCGGTGGCCGAGGTGGCCGGCTACTGGCCCTTCGGGGCGTTCTGCGACATCTGGGTGGCCTTTGACATCATGTGTTCTACCGCCTCCATTCTGAACCTGTGCGTCATCAGCGTGGACCGCTACTGGGCCATCTCCAGGCCCTTCGGCTACGAGCGCGAGATGACCCAGCGCTTGGCCTTGGTCATGGTGGGCCTGGCCTGGACCCTGTCCGTCCTCATCTCCTTCATTCCCGTCCAGCTGAACTGGCACCGGGACGCGGCGGGCCCCGAGGGTGGGGTGGGCCTTCCCTCCGACCCGGCCAACCGGACGGCCTGGGAGGGCCCCAGGGAGCCCGCGGCGAGGGCAGCGAACTGTGACTCCAGCCTGAACCGGGCGTACGCCATCTCCTCCTCGCTCATCAGCTTCTACATCCCCGTGGCCATCATGATCGTGACCTACACGCGCATCTACCGCATCGCGCAGGTGCAGATCCGCAGGATCTCTTCCCTGGAGAGGGCCGCCCAGCACGCGCAGGGCTGCCGGAGCCGCGTGGGCAGCGAGCCCGACGCCAGCCTGCGCGCGTCCATGAGGAAGGAGACCAAAGTCCTCAAGACGCTGTCGGTGATCATGGGCGTCTTCGTGTGCTGCTGGCTGCCTTTCTTCGTCCTTAATTGCATGGTTCCATTCTGCCACGGAGCCCCCGAGGACCCGAAGCCCGGCTTCCCCTGCGTCAGCGAGACCACTTTTGACGTCTTTGTCTGGTTCGGCTGGACCAATTCCTCGCTCAACCCCATCATCTACGCCTTCAACGCTGACTTCCGGAAGGTGTTTGCCCAGCTGCTGGGGTGCAGCCACCTCTGCTGGCGCACCCGTGTGGAGACCGTGAACATCAGCAACGAGCTCATCTCCTACCACCAGGACACCGTCTTCCACAAGGAGGTCGCGGCCGCCTATGTCCACGTGATCCCCAATGCGGTGGCCCCCGGGGACAGGGAGCTGGAGGACGAGGAGGACCCTTTTCATCGAATGTCCCAGCTCTGCCAGGCGTCCCCAGACGGCGACCCTGCGGCTGACTCTGTGTGGGAGCTGGACTGCGACGGGGAGGTTTCCTTAGACAAAATAACGCCGCTAACCCCAAACGGAGTTCATTAAATCTCATAAGCCCTTGTGGATCTGCGTAAGCTCGTAGACATGTACAACCACACACACCCTCACAGACGCACGCACACACACACACACACACACACACACACACACACACACACACACACACACACACACACTTCCAGCGCCTCGCAGCCTACCGGTGTTTCTGCTTCTCCGTGAAGTGGCTCGTGTGCTGGAGTCCGAACGCTCCCTGACCCTTCCTAGGTGAAAGAATCGGCAGAGGCATTAGAATCAACTCACAAACACACAGCCCACTCGGCCTAGCAGAGACGGCCAGGTAGAGCAGAGAGGGCGGTGCTGGCCCTAAAAATACTCAGTCACTTCCCCTTTCGGACAGACGGCTGGTTCAGTGACTCATTTGCATTTGGGTTGATTTTTCAACAGCAGGTTCAGCGCCTGCCTGTGAAGGATGAGAGAGTACGTGCTCTCTCTTGCTACATGGTCCTGCGCTCTGCAGTTTCTGCTCTTCCTAGCTGAGGAATCCTTCCCGAGGGGGTCTGGTGTCAGGTTAACATAGCTTATGCAGATGGTGGGGCGATTGTCTTTGCTTTGCCGGGTGGGTTTCCGAGATCACTCCCGGAGAGAACATGAGTGCAGGCTCTAAAGCAGGGATGATGTTCCTTTATTTTCTTTTCAGGCAGTTTGGCCTTAAAGGAACACACAAGGGCTTGAAAAGCTTCCGTTTTCTTTGATTTCCTTTTGTTAGATCCATACATCTCCAGGGTGTATGGAAAGCTAGTTTTATGGTCTCGCCTGGCAATATGGACTGCTCCAGCCTGGAGTTCTTCTTTTTTCTCTCTTGGAAACTTCTTTTTTAAGATAATGTAAGACGTTCTTCAGACTCGTAGGCAGATGATGTCTGTTCACTGAAGAAATTATCTACAGTAACAGAATGATCTTTCCCCAGCTCAAATCTAGAATGTTGTGACCTGGCTTTTGTTACTGTGTTTTCTGAAGAGCTTTGACATGTGTGAGTCAATAAGCTTATAAAATGCAATCCTATTATCAAATAGGCATTTTTAGTTGCACACAATAGCAAATAGGGAAGAGCATTTTAATTGAAATGTAGAAGTCAGAAATGACATTTGGATGAACTAACAAATGGAAAATCTGTAGGTGGAGTTGCTCAACAAAAGATCCCCACAAACTCCAATCTGTTTTCCCTCTCAGCGATGAGCCTGGTGTAGTGTACTTTATCCCAAATGATTTCAGTTGAGAACATAGTACCATGAGAATTACGTGCAAAACCTATTAATGGAAGCAAATGAAATGTGAATCTGCAATTTCTTATACATCTTTGCTCTCTGAAAATGTCATATCAAGGACAGTTCAATCAATTGTCATCTCTTTAGGGATAATTTTATTGTCAGTCTTCTGTACAACTCTGTCTTGTTCACTGTAAATGTGTAATGCCTGGCACGTAATGCTTAATAAATATTTGTTGAATGAATAACTATTTTTGGAACAGTGAGACTGAAAGCAAATCCCATTTGGCATGTGAGTTTTCATATGTGATTTTGTCAAAGTAATTCTGGAATCTGAGATCTGTGGGAACTCATTGGCTTGTACTCCAGTATCTGAGTCCAGTTAGGACAACATTCAGTGGCGAGAAGTGTAACTGCTCTGGGATTCAGAGGCTGTGTGACCTGTTACCCTCTCTGGGTTTCACTTTCCGTCTGCGTTTGTAAACTGAGGGGCTTGTATGAGGTCACTGTTTACCCAGTTGTGCTGTGTGATGCCAACAGTAATGCTCAGGGCCTATGGTGAAACAAATTCAGCAAATCCAGGTTCAATGCCTGTTTTCTCTTCAGGGCTTCTTAGAGCTTTTCCTAAGGATCATGGATCCCCCCATGGAGAAGATTTCATTTCCCAACGTCTTTGGCCTTGTGAGTCCTCATTTGGTAGAATTCCTGTCACGCTTTCTCTGGAGCCCCCAGTTACAGGGGGTGTAGTTTGAGAAACTTGAATGTACAGTTATTTTATTCTAAAGAGCAAAATCTTTGTGGGGGGCAAGTATTGTTTTAGGCTCCAGTTTAAATAAGTACAACTATGTGGGGACTGTGGAATTTCCTTCTGTAAAATGTCACTCATTGTGTATTGTAATTATTACATCTCCTATGTGCTCAACACTGCCCCAGATGTGGGCCATTTCGTCACTCATCAACTTCTCTGCTGGACTGGAGCCCATTTCAGAGGGGGAGAGAAAAGCCAATAAAGGCTCCCCCTGGCTCCTGTGTTGTGCTGACTCCACTATAGTGATGTGGTTTGTAAGGTTGGTAAGGTCAGGTGGGGATATTGCTGGGATGCTCCCTAAAGGACAGCAGTAAAGGGATGAAGCTGCAGTTTTATTTAGGGTAGTCAGGGGAGGGCTCTCAGAAGAGGCAGAAGGAAGAAAGACCTTGCTGAAGCAAGGGCTGGAGCAATGGCAATATCAAAGGGGAGTGGTCCAGGCAGAGGCAAATGCAGGGGAGAAGCGTGGAAATGGGATAAGCTAAATACCTAGCCTGAGGTCAGGCTGCTCGTGAGTGCTGGAGCTTGCCTCCTGGGTCTTAATTGCTTTTTGGTGATAAGAGAAGCTGCTAGGATAGCTGTCCCAAGCCAGCAAATGCACTCGTGCTTGGGTCAGGATGTCAGGTTCTTTACTCCTTGTTAGCTAACTGGCTAATTGATCCATTCCTACATCCAGGATCCAGACCTGCACTGCGTACCTGGTCCATGCTTGGAGGGAAGGCAGTCCAGGGTCCTGGGCACAGTTGTCCATGGATTAAGCCATGGGTTACATGGATGGGCCATGTGCCTTCCTGGCTTCTTATTCGACCTTCACATTAACCTCACATATTATTATTTTCCCACCTTACGGAGGAGGACACTGAGGCACATGGAGGTTAAGTTTCTTGCCCACAGTCATATGGCAAACATCTGGCAGAGCCAGGGTTTACATTTACACTAAGGGTTCTCAACTGAAGGCAATTTTTCCCTTCATCCCTGGTGACATTTGGTCACATCTAGAAATATGTTTTGATTGTCACAATTGGGAGAGGGGTGCTCCTGAGATCTGGTGAGGCCGGGAATTCTTCTAAATATCCTGGGGCGCACAGAGGAGAATGACCCAGCCACAGATGCCTGGGTGCAGCTCTGACCCAGGCAGAGGGACTCCAGCTCCTAGCCGCCTGCCCACAAACCTGGGTGTTGGAGCTCCAATCCCAAGTTTTCATTTCAGCACCATCTTTTACTAGCTGTCTGCATCGGGCTCTACTCCGAGCTTTGGCTTCTCTATCTGAGCAGTGGGTACATGGACCCCACAGGTTGCATGCAACACAGAGGTTACATTTGGGTCCTTGTTTTCCCTCTTTTAGAGAACTCTGTGTCTTCGTATGTTTTATGAGGACTTTGAGGTCTCCAGCTAGGGTAGAACCTCATAGTCCCAGAGGCTAAGGGCCACAAGAGTTGGAGAGTTGAGCCCTGCTTGGTCATGCCCACCATTATCTTCCCAGTCCAGAAGAGTGTGTGGTGCACAGCAGGTGATTAGAAAGTGTTAATCATCTCCCCTACTAAATCTCAAGTCCTGGGACACTATAGTGAGTAACTCAGTGATTTGCATAGGGAGTTCCATCAGATATGGGCAGTGTCTTAGTTATTTTCTTGTTGCTGAGATTAACACCTAACACCCAAAGTTAAAGGAGGAAAGGTTTCTTTCGGCTCTCAGTTAGTAGAGTTTTCAGTCAGCTGGCTCCAAGGCAGGGCAGCATGGCAGAGGGGGATCACAGAGGAGAAACAGTCCATGGCAGGGTAGGCAGGAAGCAGCAGCAGCTGCCTCCCTTTCCCTTTTATCCCAGCCAGACTATAAGCCTTTTAGAGCCTGCCACCTACACACAGAGTGGGCCTTCGAATTACCCACACCCAGAACTATGCTAAACCAATTAGTGGAGTAGTCCAGCACCACACACCCTTAATCCCAATATCACACCCTTAATTTCAGCATCACACACCCTAGATCCACCCACCTCTGAAAAGCCCCTCCTATGACTGAATAAGGCTTTGGAGGTCATCTAGAATTCTACTTTTTTTTTTTTTTTGGTACCGGGGATCAAACTCAGGTCCTTGCACTTGTGCAGCAGGCAGTGAAACCACTAAGCTAAATCCCTGGCTGGGGGTCATCTAGATACAAGCCATACCAGGGTTCCCTTTCATCTAGAGAAGGGGCTGCTCTGGAGCTGATCAGACCCACAGGGCAGCAAGTTCCACAAGAAGGAAGAGCTTTCTCTGCAGAGCACATCTGAAGGCTATTTTACAACCAGTGAAGTACCTTTGTTGGAGTCCCTAGATGCTCCCAAATGCTGGGTGATGTCATCCAGCCTCTGCATTAATGAGATGAGACAGGTGAGGTGGGGAGTTCCCCAAGGTCACCTCACCAGGGACACCAGGCTGAATTTGAAGGTGACTTTCACTCCTGCAGCCTTTCCATTTCACTCATCTGACCCTAGTCTGGCTGCATGGCAACAAGAATGACTTGTCTCCTGCGTTAGAGAAGTTCCAAGGCCAGTTGGTGATATGGTAGATGGAAACTGAAAAAAATACTGTCCCTGAGGTAGCACAAGGGCTCCACAGACATTTTCACCCGGAGGAGGCCTCCTGGTGATACCACCAGCATGGTGGCTTCATGGTGGTTGGACTTGGACTTCAGGGCTCCAAAGTGTATATCCAGAGAGGGGTGAGGCAGGCGGATGGTGAACCTTCTCACATGTCTTGGCCTCATGGGCCACATTCAACCACTGGGAGAGAGTCACTAAGTCCAGGCCAGGGTCAGGGTGGGAGTGGACTTCATCTCCTAGGTCAAAGAACTAGCAGAAGAGATGCTTCACATTTTCTATGTTACAAAAAAATTCTAACATAATTTCATGTACAGAAAAGTAGCAAAAATAATATAAACAATTCATAAATATTGTTTTCTCTGATTCATCAACAAATATTTTATTTTATTTATTTATTTTTGTATATCCTTTTATTGGTACATTTTAGGTGTACAACATAATGACATTCATCATTGGAGATATGCACCTTTACATACTCTCATGGTTCTTATTTTTCCCCCTTCCCCTACCCTCCCTTCAATCCCTCCATCCCTCCCTATTTACAAAGACTTGGTTTCCATTTTTTCATTTTCTCATATTAATTCCTTTCCCCTCTTTCCTTTCCCCTACCCCTCAACAAATATTTTATTATCCTGTTGCTTTGTTCTCCCTCTTTTTGGAGTTATCTAAGATGTGATGCCCATTTGGCATTGAATACTTCAGTGCATATTTCTTCACAACGAAGACTCCTCCCAGCTTATTCAGATGTCCTCTGTAACAAAACAACCCAAGATGCTGTTTTGCCTTGAAACCGACCTGTCTTTTTAGTCCCTCGAATCTGAAACAGTTCTTGCTTCTTTGCCTCTTATGGCATTGTCCTTCATGAATGGTACCTGGCCAGTCACCTGGTAAAGTCTTTCAGTGTGGTATGTCTGGTGTCTGCTCCTGATACATTGGGCAGAAACATCACAGAAGCAATCGCAAGTCCCCCTCCAGCATCCTAGCAGGCGGCATGTGCTGTCAATTAAGCCCATGACTAACATTGTTTGTGTTGCTTGATGGGTTACGGTGATGTCCATTATAAAATTTTCTTTTACCCTTAGCAGTGAATATCCTTCAGAGAGGTACTTTAAGACTATGAAAATATTCCATTAATGGTTAAACTTTCACCATATGTTTTAGCACCTATTAATTATCTTTATTTAATTATTATTGTAGCTGCCAAGGGTTTTAAAAAAATCCATAGTTTTTCTAAATTATACCTGGTTTTCTACTGAATGGAACAATATTTATTTATATTACTGTAGATTCTTAAGTTCCCGGTTTTTCCAATAGGCTATAACCCTCTGCTCTTCATATTTAGTATGATGTGTAAATTGCCTAGATTTGGCCAGTGAAGCCCTTAAAATTAGCTCATGTGTATTTTTGACATATATCAGTAGTTTTTGAGCAGTTTTCTACTTCTTGATGCAGGATATTGCAGACACATCTTCTATAGTCTCTGTTGAAGCCCTCGGTTCCACCATTTCTCCAAGGTGACTTGGTTTGTTTTGGCAAAGAGTGGTATTTATAAACCAAGATCTGGTCACACCCATCCATCCATAAGTATCATATATATATTTCTTTTTTTGTTTCTCTCCTTTTCTTTCTTTCTCTCTCTCTTTCTTCAGGTGTGGTACTGGGGATCAAACCCAGGGTGCTCTACTACTGAGCTACATCCCCAGTCCTTTTTATTTCTTATTTTAACGTAGGGTATCTCTAAGTTGCCCAAGTGGAATGCAAACTTGTGATCCTTGTGCCTCAGTCTCCCTCAGTGCTTGGCCCTATATATATTTCTGTGC